TGTAAGAGGAAGGTTTGTTTTTGAATAGGCGTAGCGACTTAAAGTCCTTTGCCAATTATGGAGGTTTTAATTTACTGACTATAGTTCCAGGAAGCTCTAACTGTCTGACTGAGAAGTCCTATGATTTAGTTTTGTTCTCATCTTTGGCTTGAAAGCGCCTCAATCAAAGTGTGCATAAAGGTTTTAATTCTGTTTGAGAGGAGGAAACTCTTGATTGACAAGATGGAGGGGAAATGTCTTCTTGCTCTGATAAGAAAGTTCTTTAGTTTGGTTTTGTATTAGTTATAATCAATTTGTTCCAGTGGCAGAAAACCCAAAATAACAAGATAGAAGTTTATTTCTCTCTCACATAAAAGTAGGCAGTCTGCAGTGTACTTGTGTGGCAGCTCCACTCCTTCAGCGACTCCGGCTTCTTTTCCCTTGTGGCTGAGCCTCCTTTAGTATAAGGCTTCTACCTCATGGTCCAAAATGGCTGCTCAGGCTCCAGTTATCACATTCATATTCTAGCCAACACAAGGGAGGCAGGAGTGAGGAGGGCAGCCTCCTCTTTCCCTGTTAGGACACTTTGCAGAAGTGGCATATGACATTCCTTCCACTAGTTCCATTGGTCTGACTTAGTCATGTGACTGTACTTAGCTGTTTGTGAGATTGAAAATACACTCTTTGATTGGGGCAGCCATGTAACCTCCTTAACAAAAAAAAATATTACTGTGCAAGAAGGGAACAGATAAATATAGGGGGAAAAACATATAAGAAAAAGAAAATTCACCTGAAATCTCACTACCTTGTATTCTGAGATGGTGATAAAGATGATGATAATGATTATTCCCACCCTCTCCACCCCATCTACACTAAATTAAGCTTTCACATTGATTTGGATTTTTATGCTTGGTCTAACTGTAGAAAAAATGTATTTGCTTTTTTTTTTTTAAGTTAAATTAGTTCATTTTGCACATCAGGTGAAAAATACTACTTGTGATCTCACGTCTTTTAGTTTTCTGCCAAAATCTTTGATTCCAAGAGATAAAACTTTTACTTACTGTTTTAAAATATTTTTAGTATCTATATTTTTGATAATGAGCTTTGGTGATCTTGATCTCTTTGTCTGGATTGTTTTCTAAAATATTAACTGAGGAATTAATCTTATCCTAATAGTTCAGAGAATAGCAACAGATTGCTACTGACTATGGAAACCTTTGAAAATGTAATAAAAAAGTAAAATAAGTAAAAAATTTATTGCTTCATCTTATCTGCAGCCTCTTTGTTGTGTTCATATATGGCTGAGTTATTGCTTGTGTAACATATATTACATTTTAAACTTAGTGTTTTTTTTTTATCATAGTCAACTGAGAATGTTTGGTTTTGCTCTAAATGAAAGAGTATCAAATATTTTATGGAACAAAAAAGAAGACTAAGTATTAGAATGTTAAATAAAATATGATGAAGACTTCATTTGGAAGTTAGTACTGAAATTGATCTTGAAGTGATTTATAAATTGCACAGGGAAAATAAAATGCTAGTGTTTTAAACTAATTAACAGAGACATCAAAGTAGAGTGCTGGAAGTAAAGATATTCCCTTATCCTGTGTTGGAAGGCATTCATGTTTTAAAAAAACTACTTGAACAGCCATAATTCACAAAGAGAACATAACATTTTCAGCCTGTTACATAAACCACTTAGTTTTCGTCCCCCCTCCCCCTCCTCCTGCCATAGATTGTGAATGCTCTGAAGGAAATTTGAATCAACAGTGCTGTTGAAGCAACAATGATAGGTAATACTTAAACTGAACTTGAAGCAATTCAGTGTCTTGAAATGCATTCAGAATACTAAAGAGTAAATGTGTCATTATAGAATTTTCAGATCTGTTTTGCCTTTTGTAATGATTTTTTAGAAGTTATTAGCATTGGATATGAATTTATTAGAATATTTTATCAGGAATATCTATGCATATTAAAGGTACATAGACAAATATCTTCTAATCAGTTTCATGTACATATTATGGTAATAAAATTAGTGCTTAATTTTTCTGAGTTTAATTTGTTTAGGGATTGAGAAGATTTATACATCAGGTAAAGTTGAGGGGATGTACAACTTGCAAGGCTCTTTCAACTTTCTAATTTTGTGATTAATATCCTTATAACTTTCATTGTGCCTCCGATCTTTTAACTGTGTACAACATAAAATGTATAATACCTTAGTTTTTAGCTTTTAAAAAAATAATCTATAGGTTTATGATTTTACAGAGAAAAGTGAAATAAATCTAAACTGAGTTTTTTTTTTTAATATTTTTTAGCTCGACAGCTGGTCATTTCAACAAACATTTAACTATTCATTATACCCAATAACTTTTCCAAGTGAGAATGCAGCAGAGTGGAAAAAGCTCTTTAAACCATGTGCTTCCCAGAGATTGTTCTTGCCAGTAAGTTTTTTCCCCAGAGTTTTTTCTTTCTTTTCTGTTTTTTGACTCTTGCTTTTACACACATGGGTTAATGAAGAGTTGTCTATAAATCAGTTTAATACACACACACACACACACACACACACACACACTCACACACACCCCTACACACCTACATACATACCTACCTCCACACCCCCCACACCCCCCTTTGATCAGTAGGGGAAAAACCCTTCCCATAGAATAAATAAAAGCTACGATAGAAACCTCTGTTAAAATGAAAAATGTAAATGATTCTATTGAAATACCATTTCCTACATTTTAATTTACTCAATTGCTATAAACTTTTATTTCTAAGAGGGAACAGAGGTTGTCAGGTTTTAATGGAGCCAGGCCTGTTGCCATCAGAAAGGCAGCGACAATGTCACCTTCGAGTTGCAGACTACATTTGTAAGTTGGGAAATGAAGTAGATTGCATCATTAAGTAACTATTTTTTGTCTTATACTAAGCCAATTTACCTCTTCTAACTAATATTTTAACACAGACACAAAATATAAAGCATGTGAACTTCTGAGGGACGTGGGAACATTCATTCAGTGGGGCTGTTCTTTGGTGATATACCCTAATTATTATTATTATTATTATTTTTAATCTAAAAATATTCAGAAGGAAGGTTACCTGTTTCATTTTGAATTGATTTCATCCACAGTTTTGAGATTACAATAGTTAAGTTAGGACTGCTATAATGTTAAAATAGTTAATGGCATTAGAAATACTGAATTTAAGAAGCTCACAAGTTTCAGGGAAGTATATGAATTATAGGGAAGAAACTTCAGTTACTTGTTATTTTTAAGTAGATTAAGGCAATTCTCAGCATACTAAGAACATAGTTTATGGAATCCAGGATGTCAGTAAGAGTTAAAGTTATAATTTTGATAGCTGAGTCTGCCTAACCAGTATCTTTGTTGCTGTGCATAAAAAATTTGGATCCTAGGATCGTTCTCACTCTCTACTTCTATTGTAAGAAGCACCCAAATAAGGGATTGAGATAGGAAAAAGTTTTAAGAAGTTTTAGATACTTCATGTAGGCTTTATACATTAAAACAATTTTTTTATATTGAACCATTGCTGAGTGCTGAGTACATAGGAATGAATGGAACAGACAGATTTCTTGTTTTCATAGAGCTTATTGTCTGATGTGGGAGACAGACATTAAACAAAAACACAGTATGACATTAAATAAACACTGATATGTTACTGAAGAAAACAGTTAAGTGATGAAAGAAGTGTGAGGTTACATCCATTTATCTTCTATTCTGCATAATTAGCACATTTAATTGTTGATGCTATGATATGAAATTTGTGAGATCCTTTAGATGTAATCTGGTTAAATTCCTAAATGGAATTTGAAATACTAAAATAAAATACTTGAAACCTGTCAGATTGTCCTCAGACCTCACTGTTACTTCTGTATCTTTTTAATCAGTTTTAAGTAAATCGATAACTTTATTTTTCTAAGTGATAAACTTTTGCTTTTCACTGAGTTTCTCTTCCTTTAAAATAGATGGATGAAAAGAACTAAGGTAAGCTCTGCCCATTCCCCCTTCCCCCAAAAGGAACCTTAGAAAAAGACTGATGTGGTTATTATTTAACCTTATGTCTGATCTTCAGTTGGCAGTGGCTCCCAGCAGTGAACTTGGAGCTTTATGCCGTGTCTTTCTAGTCTGCAACAATACAGTAATCTGTGGACACACATGGTATCATGGTACAGAGGCAGAATGTTGATATAAAAACAATCCCCCTCATTCTCCTTTCCCCTTCAAAAGAGAGAGAGACATACAGACACATACACACATACCCTTTTAATTGGGGTCTTTGATCCAGTGAAGCTTCCCTTCAGGCGCTGCAGCAACCATCACATTTTTTTTTTCAGCCTGGTATTAAATCAGTTGGCGGGGGGAGTGGGATGATTTCAGCCTCCTAGCTGCTCATTAAGGTAATGGCTTACCCTCAGCTGCAGGAGGAGGTAGCATCTTTGAAAAGGAGCAGAATGAGACTCAAGCTCTTATTCTCATTATATTCTTAACGAAACAGGTTTAGGTTAACCTAATTATGAGTCTTACTAATACACTGGGATAGGCAGTAAATTTAAATTTGCAGGTGTCAGATTCCAAAGTTCACAGGTAAGGCAGAAATAAAAATTATCCTTGAAAATCCCTGTAGAAGACATGTTAGAGATTTAACATTTCTCAGAAAGTAACAATATAGCCAGTCTTTTTTCCAAGACCAGCCTTGTCTTCTTCACCCATGCTCAGTGTGCGCACACTTTCTTTGATTTGTTGGAGGACAATAAGCACAGAAATAAGAGCGTGGACTCTGGAGCTAGATGCTCTGGGTTCCAATTTTGGCTCCACCATTTAATAGTTGAGACCAAAATGATGTAAAGGTGCCAGTCAATGTTACAGGCCGAGAGAACAAGTTCGGATTTTCATTTGTTTGGGTTATTTCTATATTTATCTGAAGAATTAAGATTTGAGATATAAATTCATCTAAGTTAATGTTTTTTTTTCCCCCACTATAAAGCATTTTTCTCCCTAATCTTTGAGGATATTGCTTTTATTTTATTCTTCCAATTGTTAGTTTTGAGTTTTTGTTCTGATTTGTTTTTATAGCTTTTCTTCTCTAACGCCAATAAAAAGATTAGCGTAGTATCTCTATATGCTGTTGTAGAAAAGGACAGACTTAGGAAAAATTGCTCTACTTTAAAAAGTTAATGTAAATTAGCTTATATCTTAGGCATTTCTTTTTAATTAAAGTCTTATGTTTTATATTAAATAAATTGAATTATAGTTAATAATTAAAATCTTTCCTCATAGTTAATCCTGAAAGAAGTTGACTCACTATTGTATGTCGACACCGACATCCTTTTTTTACGACCCGTTGATGACATTTGGTCTTTACTAAAGAAATTTAATTCCACACAAATTGCTGCAATGGCACCAGAACATGAAGAGCCTCGAATAGGATGGTATAATCGCTTTGCCAGACACCCATACTATGGAAAAACTGGAGTAAACTCTGGAGTTATGTTGATGAACATGACTAGAATGAGAAGGAAGTATTTCAAGGTAAGTCACTGATATAGGTAGTTGATTAACATTTCTCTATTTTTCCTCCAAATTGTTTGGTTTACAATTTAATTTTGCTTCACTAAAAACCAGCTTGAACTATTTGGAATATTTCCATTTATATAAAGTAATTGATGAAATGTGTGTCCTTAGTATTTTTTTTTATTAGAACATTGCAGTAGGTCAAATCAGATAGCGTTACAATGAAGCAAAATAATAATGCTTTAGGCAGCAAACATCATCTTCCTAGATTGTTATTCCAGGCAGCAGTTGCCATTTTGTAGTTGTGCAGCCATAGAATATTTGAATCTAAAGTATGATGCATCTTAGGGGAACACAGAGTCATACTTAAGACTCTGAAGGCTGCTGGCTTGGTTCAGACTCTGGGACCTTTGAACATCTCTGAGTTTCAGTTTTCTCATCTGTGAAATGAGGATGAAATAGTACCTAAGTCATAGGGCGTTTGGAGGATGAAATTAGAACAGCCACTGACACAGTGAATGCACTGTGTCACACATGTGCATGGCACAAAGTAACCACTTAAATGTTAGCTAAGAGCAGTGACTTCTGAAACACCCATATGGACTTACTGTTCATCCCTTTACAGCTATCAGGACTAAAGTAAACATACTATATCTTTTATGATGTGAGTATATATGTATGTTTGTATATGCGTATATTTGTCAGATATTTTTCTTATGGCTTCTGGTGGACCAGAATTCACACCATTATTTATGACTCCTTTCTATGTGCCTGATTTAAATCTTTGCCTCATTTAGAGTTGTTCCCTCTTATCTTTGGTTTAGGCAGCTGTACTGCTTGTAGCCAACACCATTCACATCCCAAGATTTTATTCTTAGGACAGTTCGTACCCATCACTCTGATCTTCTGTAGATCTAGTAAACATAGGGTTTTTTTTTAGCTTTCCCATTTTCTGAACCTTTCTGAAATCTTGATTTTGTTTCAGTTTTGTCACCCACAATTGAATGCGTTAATGAGACTAATATAACTGGTGCTATTGCTTAACAGTGAACATCTTTTTTCTTCAACTATCCAATTTAATGTATCATGAGTTTTAAAATTTCATGTACCATAAAGTTTTACTAATAAAACAGGTATACCATGAGTTTTCTTCCTTTTCTGATTGTTAGACTATGTATAATAATATCACACCAGAAGATGGTGCTGTAAGATTATCTGCTAAGGAATAATGTGACTTCTAGTAACTCTTCATTTGAAATTCACAGAATAGTGAGAAGTTTAGTGTTGCAAAGAACCCTAGAGATAATTTAGTGTAGAATCATTGTTCGATTTTTTTAAAATTTCAAAATACAACTATATAGTTCAAATCTATGATTATTTTTTACTTACCGTTTACTTATTTAAATGTCGTTCTTGAGTACTTTAACAGTTTTTCCCCTTTTCTTTGTGTCTGTGGCATGTTCTAAATCAGCTAGAGATGAAATAATTTAGAAACTTTCAGACTTTCGTTTTCGTTTGTGCATTAATGACTTAATGAAGACAACCATGAGGGGCATTATTGTACATTAATCCAGTAGGTGCAGTTTAAGCTCACACCTACTGTCTCTGTGTTCCAAACAACCCTATTGTTGCATGTTGGGAACAACGCAGATTGCTTTGTTTTCAAATGTTATTACAGTTATGATTGCTAAGATGTCTCTACAAAATTTATTTTTCAATTCCTTTTTCATATAACTCTTTTTGTTTTCCAGACTATATCTGTAGCAAACATTGCCTTCCCCCCCACCCCCCCAACTAATTCTACAATTTTTGGCACAGATCTTAAAACTTAGAGCTCTCATGATATAACTGAATTACTTGTAATAACTTTCCCAACTGTTTCGTACAGATCAGTGAATGTTGTTCTGTGGTTTTTGTCACATGAAGAGCTGTAAGACTACCCATTTAGCATGATGGCCATGTTTTAAATTCCTATTGCTTTACTATCTCCCAATACATACCATTCAGGACTGTTCAGTTCCAACCTGATATATTATACTTATATATATTAAAAATTAAATTAGTAAAAATTCAACTTTTTTGTTTTTCATAATACTTGACAGACAATGATAGAACACAAGTTAAACTATTGCTTTGTATTTTGTTATGATTGTATGTGCAGTGCTGAATCCCTGTTAGTATATTTCTTAACCTTTTTCTATTTATTAGAATAAAAACCAAATAATACAAATAAAGCATCTTGAGAATCCTTTCCTAGTATGTTTACTGTACCTTGTTCATGTCTTGCCAAATATTATTTTACAAAGTAATTTTTGCCTGTTTTCTCCACTTATTGATGACAGGGTGTCTTTTGCACAGCTTTGTAGTCAGAATATTTAGAATGGTGTCTGGCATAAAGTGACAAGTCAATAGATAATTACCTGCAGAAGACATGAAAGTTTTAGAAACCAGGCCATGAATGAATTATTGAAAACAATGGAAAAGAGAACACTTACTATGAGGCAGACATGATAGCTGTTATATTTGAAAGATGTACATGATGGAGGACTTTTATTGTGTTACATATACTACAGCTTATGAAAACAGAATATCAGCGAACATCTTACCAAAAGGGATGGACCTTTTCAGAGATTAGCGGAGAGTAACTAATCTTTGGGAATTGATGTATTCCATTTTCTAGCATTGTTGGAGCATACTATGAATAGCCACCTGTCAGTTTTATATTTATGTATAAAATAGAGTGATAATGATAATGAGCCTATTTTCAAAAGCATACACAATTCAAAAAATGAAACTAATTGATCTTAATATAATACATGTGCGTTTGGCAGTAGGTTTGCTAAAATTAGTAAATTAGAACTACATTTTTTTAAATTACAGAACTAAATCATGCTTACAAAATTTAAACAATTCGTTGTACGTGGAGTGAAAAGACAAGTCCCCCCTTTACGTACCACTGTCACCAGTTTCATTTCTTTGCCCAATGAGATAAACTTTGCTATGTACTATATTCTTCAGACACTTTTAAAAATGTATTTTGAAACTCATACACATGTACATTAGCACTTATATATAGGATCCTTTTTATATCTTCAGCTTGTTGTTTTTTTCCTTAGTAAATATAATTGACTGCTTTTTATGTCATTATACATAGTTTGACACATTTTTAATGTGTGTATGATATTGTAGAGAATGGATAATTTGGTTTTATTATTTGTTATGTACTAGTATGAACACGTAGTTATATGGTTGGAAAAAACTTCATATATTTCAATTTGTCTTTTCCTGACTAGACTACCAGTATGAATAAAAATCTTTTTGTATAATTTTTAGCCATTTCTGCTTCCTCCATTGTGAGTAGCTAGCTGTTTGTCCATATCCTTGGACCATTTCTTTACTTGATTGTTTTTGTTTTTTTATTGACTTAAACTCTTTTATATGTAATGTCTCTTTATTAAACTCATTTCTTACTATTTTTTCATTGGTTGTCTTGCCTATTCTAGGTTATATCATCATCAAATAATATTGGTATTATTACTTTTTGTCCAGAGTTTTTCTAGTAGGACTTTGTTATAAAGGTTTTTTTCCCCCCTCATTGATTTTTTTTTTTTCCTAAGACTGCCTGGACCTTGTAATGTATCTTTCATTGATTTTTTTCATTGAATAAGTATATTTCTTTATCTATCTATCTATCTATCTATCTATCTATCATTTATCTTTCTATCTTAGAATAGATTGAATCCAGTGAAGACTTGAACATGGCATGGCACAGCTGGCCCACTAGTCCTGGTCTTCGTCCTGTGCAATTCATATTTTTCTTTTTCAGATCTTACAAACATTTAGTTTACATGCTCAATAACTTATTTCAGAATCATCCTTTCAATAAAGTATTGTCTTATTATTTCCTTAAGTAAAACTTATTTCAGTCATTTTCCAGATTTTAGGGGAGGGAGATTTCTGATTATTTTATAATTACTGTGTTTGTTGCATTCTGAGAAACTTCACACAAGGATAATACAATTATAGCAGATCATATCTAGTTTAAATATGTAGGATTTTTTTTCTTCAAGAATTCAAGCTCTTTCTCTTAAAGGATAGATTGTTTATACCCCCACTTAGTTGATTATATATCCTAGAATAGCTTATAACAATGTTTTTCAAACTATGGTGAAGGATCAATGTTTTTTTAATTTACAATTTGTCATGAGCCAATACTTTTCTAAAAATAATGTAACTAAGTTACTAGAAAAATACTAGACTAAGTAGACATAACATTATTCTGTTAAATTGTTATAAAAGTTTCTAAATCTTGCCCTTAATTTCTGTACCTAGTCTTGTAGAGGGCTTAAAAATTTCACTGAGCGCCATGCTGCAGACTACACTTTGAGGAATACTGGTTTAAGTTTGAGAGTTTACGAGAGTTAGATAGGTATAATAGGCTTCGTATTCAACTGCACCCCTTCACACCCCAGATTCATACTATCCAGAGGTATATTCATACCCTCTTTCAACTCTGTTGATTCCGTAGGCATTTCGCTTTGTGTTTTAAAATAATGAGCTATGAGCAACTCCATAGAGGCTGGAAAGGGACCTGATGAAATTCAGTATCTCTTTTTGGTTTATCAATTTCAAATGATCTTTACGAAATGCCAGTTATAAAAGATGAGCACATCAGTCCAAGAATAATAGTGATGGCAATAATAGTAACAGCTAACTGAGCATGCACCATGTGTCAGGTACTGTTCCTAGCACTTTTTATTTGTATATTAACAGGTTTAATCCTCAAGAACTCTGTGACATAGACAGACATAGACGCTATGTCTAGACATTTGACACAGGAACTAAAATGCTCTGAATGTTAAGATAAGGTCACAGTCACAGGACTTAAGCTGTCACCTACTTTCTCTTTCCCTACTTTTATTAGTTTTATCACCTCTACATGCGGCTTCAGATAGCTTCTTGTATTATCCTCCCCACTCCAGCTGCACAGTCTTACTCACATTTAGGTTTACATTAGAGTCACTGGGTTTTGTAACAAAAGAAGTTTACATTTTTTCTTGTTGCTCTGTAATGATTGCTAAGGGAAGGTTGGGGAACTGTCATTATGTTGCCATTTTAAACCTGGAAGCCTGAGGATTTTTTAAATGTATTTACCAACAGAATGATATGACAACTGTACGACTACGATGGGGAGATATCCTTATGCCATTGCTCAAAAAATACAAACTAAATATCACATGGGGCGATCAAGATCTGTTGAATATCATATTTTTTCATAATCCAGGTAATCATTTAAGTTTCTTTAATTTGCATTTATAAATGATTATAGATAGTGTTTAATCAAAAGTGAAGAAAATGCATTTGTTTGATTTTGGCTTATATTAATGGTTATCACTGTGTTTAAGACAGAGTAAAACTTTTCTTGAATATTGATTGAGTAGGAAGAAATCTAAATGCCAAACATTCTTTACTACTTAAACTTTTATTCTATAAGAGCTGTATTTTTAAACTAAAATTTTTGCAAAATGTTAATTCTGTGGAATTCGGGGTATTTGCTTCATTGTTTTGTTTTCCTTCACATAGAAAGCCTTTTTGTTTTTCCGTGTCAATGGAATTATCGACCAGATCATTGTATATATGGAAGCAATTGCCAAGAAGCAGAAGAAGAGGGAATCTTTATTCTTCATGGGAACAGAGGTGTTTACCATGATGATAAACAACCAGCGTTTAGAGCTATTTACGAAGCACTGAGAAATGTAAGCATTTTTTTTAAAAAGTGTTTATGTGGGAATACTTCCAAGCTTACAGAGAATTTGGGAGAATAGTACAAAGAATTTCCATATCCTTTACTAAACTTCATGAGTTATTAATATTTTACCCTTTGCTTTATCATTTGTTCTTTATATATACATTGTTTTTTTTCTGAGACTACATCATGCTCTTTTACCCCTAAAGACTTCAGTGTGTTTTCACTAAGAACAAGGACATTCTCTTATTAACCACAGTACAGATATCAAACTCAGGAAGTTTAATACTGATACAGTACTTTAATCTACCATCCATGTGTCTTTACTCTTCTTTGATCTAGGACAGTTTCTTAGTCTGTTTTATGGCATTGATGTTTTCTGAAGGATAGAGCCCCATTCACCCCTCATATTACTAGAATGTTCTTCATAGTGGCTTGTCTGCTATTTCTTTAGGATTAGGTTCAAGAATAGGTTCTCCTGAATACTATGTAAGTGATATTGTGCCCTTCTTAGGCTGTCACATTCACAGTTACCTTTGTCTGCCTATCTCTCAATGGTGATGTTGATTTCAATTACGCAGTCAAATGTTGTTCCGTTTCTCCTCTGAATAGTTATTTTTCCTCTTGTAAGCAGTCTGGGGGGTGGGGAGACTCTAAAAGATCATGTAAATACGCTACTTATCAAAATTTCCATACTATATTTAGCATTTGTTGTTGGTTCTTGCTCAAACCAATCTTTACAATGGTAGTTGCAAACTGGTAATTGTCCAACTCTAGTAACTCCTTCCACATACAGCCTTGGCACCCTGCTGTAAGGAAGTGCGCTCCCTTTTCCCATTTATTGAGCTACACATTATCAGTATGAACTCATTAATATGTATTTTTTCCAATGATTTATAATGCATTATTCCATTTTATTTATCTTAATGCCAAAGTTGTTCTAAATTTGGTCATTGGGGAGCCCCTGTTGGCTATCTCTTGTGCCCTTTTGACAAATTCCCGTCATTATTTTGAGTACCTCCTGATTTTCTGCTCTAACAAAATAATCTAAGCTCATCTTGATATACCTTCCCAACCCTAGCCCTGAAATTTGCTGTGTGTCAAAGGTGCTTTGTTTCCTTTTGGTGGGTTCTGGGTGCTAGGCATGCTTATTGGTACAAGGGTGTCTTTACTTCTTAGCCCTTTCATTGTCAGAGTTAGGAAATATAAACACACACGCACGCACGCACGCACGCACGCACAGAATCATGCACCCACACCAGTTCCATCCCCCCAAGGCCCTTCTTTTCACTGTCCTACTCTGTTTCTGTGTTTTATCTCCTTTCTTCCATATGTAGAATCATGGCTCCTAACATAAAACATTTCTTCATTTGCTTAATCCTACAATACATTTAAAACAATTTGAAAAATGCTCCACTCATACCATTATCTGTACTTCCCTCTTTGCAAAAAAACCCAACCTACTAACAGTTCAGGATTTGTTTAAAATCAATGTTGTATTTTAATAATGTTTTATCATGGGTGGTCAAAAGGTAATAAAAATAAAGAAAAGTACTTTTGGGAATTCTGAGACTTTGCAGGATAGAAAAGAAATGCATTCTTATTAAAAATGTGATTTCTTTGTTTCCTTTGAGGATTAAAATACATTATTAAAGATTTAAATCTTACTAATTTATTTGACCTTTTCTTTGATCTTTTATAAACATGTACCTTTAAAAACCTGAGTAATAGTTTTAGGCTGATTAATTATACTTCATCTTTTAAAAATAAATCTTGTAAAATGATTTCAAATCCTGAATTAATGATTTTTTGTGTTCGTTTTGGTTCTATGGAAACTATCCATTTTTCAACTTAATGAAGCTGATCAGTCTTTTATGGTGCTCTTCGTTAGTGATTTTACCTTCTCTTATCTATAATTCATTAAGAAGTGTAACTTTTGAAAGAATTCAGGCCAGGGTATTTATGCAAGTTTCAGACAGATGCTTGGTCATAGCCATCGACTGCAGTGAACAATATGAATTATAAAGGATGTGAATCATCTTTAAATTGTAAATGCATGGCTATGTCTGCCAGCAAATCAGTTTTTACCATCCATACATATTTGTTAAATATTAGTTGCTGAGTGAATAAAAATACTAAGATTAAAAATTAAAAATTTAAAATGGGAACTAAACATTTTATTGCTCTATAAGATATTTCCTGCTTAATGTATTTCATTCTGAATTACTTGGTGTTTCTGTGTTAACTTTGATTTACTTCATACCCTGCTTATATTTGCATAACTATCTCTGCAAATATAGAAGCATGAGTGTTTCTTCCTACACTACCTTTTTGTATATAGTTGGTACTCAGCATTTGTTAGATTGAACTGCCATTCTGCCATATTTTTAAAACTTGTTCTGTTCTTTGAAAATGCCTGGGATTATCTCCTTGTGGTAGCCTCACTATTTATTCTCTGCCTTTCAACTGATAGTCTTATATACAGAGCATGACCTTTCTAAAAGTTTGTGTACTGGGTGCTGTGCCAGTGACGAGGGAGGATGCACTGTGTCGGGAAAGACTTCTCAGAGGAGCTGACAGTTGAACTGAGCTGTAAGAATGATTACCAGGTGGAGACGAGAAGGTGAAGGCAATCCAGGCACAGCGTGCAGTGGGGAAGGAGGCCTGCAGCCAGGTCATGGCCCATGTGGCCTTCAGGGAAGGGACACCTAGGAGCAAGTTATGTGCTGCACACTCTGGGCATTCGTTACACATAATGTGAATGGCAGAATTCAGTGACTGTATTTATATAGGCAGGGATTTTCGTAATTTATCATCTTCTTAAAGGTCAAATTACTCGTGTTATATGGTGGACGAAAAGAGCTCTAATACAGCAGGCACTGTTTTTTATTTCAGGAAAATAGTCATCAAAAGGCTTTCTCAGTGAAGAAAAATATCTTTTAACCACAAATACTGGGATTTAAATACATGAAAATGAATGAACTGAATCTGAAGTACTTCATTTTCCTGGGAATTAACTTTTAAACGCCTTCGTAATTTTTCATTTTATTGTCATTGCATAGTAATAAGAGATCACAGTTTGGTCTTCCCATTATTATCCACCTCTCAACCACAGTTGTCCAAGTAGATTTTTTGTACACATTGAAATGTTGACAGTATCGCTTGATGGAGGTGATAACCCTTGGTGAAGTTTACCTTCTTCAACTTAGCTGCCACTTTTAACCCCAAACAGATTTAGGCATATCTATATGCAGCACTTTTCCCAGTTTCCCACTGTTAATTGAGCTTCATCTTTCAACAGGATTTTGGAAACTGACTTGGCACGGTTTCATAGTTTTTGTTTTTTTGCCTTTACTTTATTATTATTTTTTTAATTCTTTTTTAAATTTTATTTTTTTATATCAATTTCAGGTGTACAAAACAACATGATTAGACATTTACACCCCTCTCAAAGTGAAAACCTCCCCCCAATCTGCTACCCCTCTGACATCGTATATAGCTGTTACAATACCATTGACTAGACTTCCTATGCTGTACTTTACATCCCATGACAATATATATAAATTTAATTATAGTTGACATTCAGTATTATTCTACTTCAGCTTCAGGTGTGTATAGCACAGTGATCAGGCATCTACACAGTCTATGAAGTGACATCCCTCCCCCCCACTCCATAAGACCAGTACCCATCTGGCCCCCTACATAATCTTTACAACATTATTGATTATATTCCCATACTGCATTTCTCATGCTGTGACTATTTTGTGACTCCTGTTGCTTCTTTGGACTAAGCGAAGCTGTGAAGTGGAATGGCGTTGGACTTTGGAGCTGGGCAGCTGGTGGAATCCTGGCTTTGCCACTTACTAGCTTTGTAACTATAGGAAGATTATCTCTTAGTTGTTTCATTGTGAGTAGGGATAATTATATGACATAGTTTGTAAAGTTGGTGTGAGGCGAGCATGATGTCTGGTGTGTAGGAAGTGGCCTTTTTTAAACTAGTCTGGCTTTCAATAGTTTCTCCCAGATAACTATGGGCTAGCTGTTATTATTTTCAGTACATTCTTCCTACTTAGGCTTCCCCCTTTTTTTGCCTTTGTAACAATTTTAGATATTTATCTCCAGTATATGTGATTGGGTTTTAAAAATCACCCCAAGAGTGATGGTTTCATGAAGTTAATGCTCACAGTTTTCTTGCTCAAGAGATACCAGGTGTTAAGATCTCTTTGCATCTCTCTCTGCATTGGTAAAAGCCATGTGATAAATTAGCATCTAAGTTCATCTTTTTCTCCATAGGTTGACTTCAGCATTTTGCAAACTCACTAATTGTGATTTGGGTGGTGTTTTTATTTCTTCTTTCTCTGTTTCATGGCAGTGAACCTCAAGGAAAAGCTGGGGTCATTTGAAGCCCTCTGAGATTTCAGGTTTTGAATTTCCTTTGGGATCTTGGATTTTTCACTGACTTCAAACTTTCACATAAAAATGTTCTATTTTTAAGCCCCATCCATCTTGCTAACTGAAAATATAACCATTTGCAAATGCTAAATCCAAAAATATACCTGGTTAAAAATACTAACATCATAAGGTAACCACTTAACCACTGCTACATCATTTTCCAAAATATATTCCTTGGGATATATTTCTTATTTTACAGTAACAAAGGACTCTGGACAAAAATATACTTTGGAACTAGTGAGCCAAACACTATTCAACAGATGTATTTTCTGTTTTACTTTTTAGAGTTTGCCAGTATCAATCCCCACAAAGGGCATCTGTTATTTAGCAGTGCAGCAATGTGTTTATCCTTGGGACCCTTTTGTGCAGTTAGGGTTCTTTGGGAAATGCAGAACCATGCTATCATTTTGCATTCCTCCCACTCCATGCCTCTGTCTTATCCCTTTCCAGTCTAGCCTCAACACTGTCATCAGAGTGATGATGGGCTTTCATTAGTTTCTCAGATACCTTCAGTGCCTTTGGTCATCATCCCACACCAGTCCATATCTGGGTATTCTCTGTCTTTAAACATGTAAGAACTCTTGCCATGGCTTGGAATGCCCTGCCTCCATTACCTCTTCTCTGAAAAACTTTCCCTGATACCCTCAGTGATTTACCATTATTTTCTCTGTCCTCTAATGTGAGATCATAGTTCTATTTAATTCGTTGAAAGTATTTATTGAGCATATGCTTTTTGTGAGACTTGGAGGTTGTCCGTGTTAAACTGATTGAAGAAGTTATTTGGAGTCAATTATGTATTTATATATATATCTTTGTTTTTTTATTTTCTTTTTCTAGTGTTCTTTTGAAGATGACAACATCCGTTCCTTAATGAAACCTTTAGAACTGGAACTGCAAAAGACAGTGCATACATACTGTGGAAAAATTTACAAAATATTTATCAAACAGCTAACAAAAAGCATACAAGACCGTTATGATAGACCTCCAAAGGAAAGGTGATTCTTGGTGATCACTAAATCAAATGAATTAAAACCACAAAATAAAATGTGTGAAGGAGTAGTCTTAGATGAAGTGTTCAGGAAGGAATTATTCACCTTTAGAATAATTATTTTCCTGAAGAAGTTAAACAAGCAATATAGTCATATAATGAAGAATAAATTAAAGTCTTGGACTCCAACAAGAAGACATTTTTCATCTCTGATGTTTTGTAATGTTACATGCAGTCATTCCAATATTGATGAACATATTGAATGGTTGTAGCCTACAGGCATTGGTTGACTCTTATTCTCAAGTGAGTAAGAACAGTAGGGGTGTATGAATGGAGAAAGTGTACCTCATACACAGTGGAAACACTCAAAACTGTGAGTATAGCAATAATTATATGTCAGCACTAACCTCACTTTAAATGTGTGAGAAAAAAGTTGTTTACAGGGGCAGAAAATATTCTGTTTCTAAAGAAATGTGATGTAACCGTTGACAATCTATGTGTGCCTTTATAGATATCATCTCTGTTTTAAAATCTGTTTTGTGACAATCATGTTTCAGTTTATTTTTAGACTGTAAGTAAGCTGCACATTTAAAATTGAGCTGTATAAGAAAGAAGGAAAACTGAAAAATTTGGAGTTTTAGTCCCTGTGTGTCTGTTTGTGAAATGTGGCATTTTCATTTGTCTTGCCAAACTCAGATCTAAGATTGTTAAACAGATATTTTGGGAAATTTTTTATCACTTTAAATGGAAATTTTCAGCTTTACTGGGCATTCTAGAAGCAAAAAAATATGCTGATAATAAAGTGAGAACCTAAATAGTATTCTTATATGATGGTGGAAAATGTGATGGACCAAAATGGATAAACTATATACTTCCTGTGAACAGTAATTTTAGTTGCAATGAAGCAGAAAAAAGTGATCCATTTAAACTTTTCTTCTACCTCAAAATGACTTTGCAAGTTATTTTTGAAGAAGCAAATATATAGAGCCTTACTTTAAAAACATTAGACAACTTTCATGAATGATTTGGATTAAGAAAATTGTTACCTCTGACTATAGAAAAAGTAGTTTTGATTTGGTTAATGTGCATTTTTTCCCTTTTTTGAACATCACTTAAGACAGTTTTTTTTTAATGTTGAAAATACAAAAAATATTATTTTTCTTAGTGTTCTTGACAGCTGTCTAATGTAACTATAGATATTGAGTACTTAACATGTACTCTGCAGGGGCACATATCATTTTACCAAATGCTATATGATAATATTCTTTTTCTCTTTTTGATATTTTAATTCTTAAATAGAGTAAGAGAAATCATGAAGGAAAAATATCACTTATTTGAAAATAGTGATGATTGGCTTTATGAAGACAGAGTGCCCTCTGTGGAGACATGGAATATACAGAAAGAAATGGTCAGTATAGTTGTCTCCTGTCTTTTGTAGTTTAGACAGGGACAAACTGAGAGAAGAAAGTATAAGAAAGGCAAATTAGAAGCTGATAACCAGCCCAGCACCCTTAGATGCGTTTAGAGACCATAATCTGCACATCCTTGGCAGAATGCCATGGTGAATATAAGAACTGGTGAACTGTGTTGACATTGAGTTTCCTAAGTAGAAAATGAGAATCCGAGAATTTTAAAGTTTGGAGGGTACACAGAAGATTGTTTCCAACGGTCCCCAAATAAGACCATTGCCTGGCTGTGTTAGACACTTGTGGGGAGCTTGTTGAGAATGGATTCCTGGGCTTCACCTTTGAAGACTCTGTCAGGTCCACTGTGTCTAGGATGGGGTCTGCAAACATTTGGAAAGAGTGTGGTATTTAATTGGAAATAAATTTAACTGGAACTAATTTTGCCAACTTGAAGGCTGAAGTTAGGATTTCACAATTCTTGGCACAGTTGGTGGATTATAATTGTGATTCTGAAATCTTAGGGGAAGGACTTGGGGTTATTGACAAGATAGGAATTTATATTATTAGTAAGTTCCTTAGATTTAATTTCCTCAAGAACAGAGAATCTCAAACCCATGGGCTCTGATATGATTGGTTGGGACTATGCAGAACGTGGTCATAGTTTAATCCAGCTTACTGTGCGCTGTGGTTTCACATGTGTTGTGGCTTATTTAGATTGACATACATTCTACATTGCCAAAAATTGTTGGGAAATTCTTCATCTGGTTTATTTAGACCTTGCCTAATTGGGCCTTTTAACATAAATTGGGTTATGGTGAAAACTCTCCACGTAGGGACTATTTTTCCCTAAAATTTAGGATATCACAGAAAGTCCATAACATTATTAAAATGAGTTTTCTGAATTTATCTTTAGCTAAGGTAACTTTTTCCTTAGAATTCTCAAGAAATACGGTTCTTAGCATCAATGAGGTTAACTTGCATCACAACTTAGAGAATATTATATTTCTTTTCATCAAACAATATATCTATGCAGTTTATATAAATTACATTATGTATTCTTTGAGTCTATGTGTATTAGAACAATTCTGACCTCAGAACTATCTCTGGGCTGCAGTGTTACCAAAGTGGAATGACTAAAATACAGTCAAACTGCATTTGTGTGAAGTAGTCATCTTAAAAGAACTTTGAAAACCTTTAGAAATATATATTGTGATTTACACTTTAAGAAAATACATATTTTTCCCCTATGAAGAGTAGCTCCTAATGTATAAGGTAACCCAGTTATCCTTGGACACTTTGGAGCCTGAAACAATATTACTGCACATTCACTGTTCTCTCATCTTCATTATAGCCAGATGTTATTGAAGGAAGTAATGGAAAGAAAATCGGACTGTGAACTAGATCTGGATTCTCTTCCTGGTTAGGGACCTCAGGCATATCGGTTAACCT